TATATATATATATCTCTCTCTGTCTCTAGGAACTAGATTCTATATATCCTCTATCCTCTATCCTCTAAAACCTCTATGTGAGCTTCCAGCTCATTGGGATACAATACCCCATAGCATCACCTGCAAGAGACGCGCACACCCTAATATAAAAGTGAAGGATGGCCTAGACAGGAAACAACTCACATGACTCTTATTCCCCTCTCCCAATAACTTCCTCCGTCCCAATATTGAAACCACGAGGTATTCCAACACCACCAGCCCTCCCTTTCAACAAATCCCAATCCGCGCAGGGGACTCACCGGCAAAGGTTCGGTCAGCCACAAGCCACCCGCAGCGAAATCATCCATGATCAAACCGGCGGTCAACCACAGCCACCCAAAAACAAAACCTGCATTTGCAGACCGCCGAAGCCAACGGGGTAATCGAGTCTTCCTTGGCTTACCTGTGTATTTATGTAACAAGGCTGGGACTACGACGTAGGAGAGAAACTCTTGGATTGTAACGCCAACAAATTGGAGAACAAAAAACAGAAATGTCCCAGAAAGGGGATTGGTGTCGGACAACTGGGTATAACTCCCACAGGCGTGGATGAAACCGCTAAGCGCGAACGCGACAAACGTCATTAAGAGGCGCCTGAAACGCGAGTTTGTCGATAATTGTTTGGGAAGGAGCGATAGAATCCAGTGGGCAGTGGACGTGAATCCGAACCGGAAAATCTGGTGCCACCATATACCCCAAGCGCCTGCAAGACCGTGATCCAGCACGGGGACGAGGAACGGACCAAACATGTCCGAATAAAGCCAAGGGGCATCCAGCGGTGTTGCGGTTATGCTGCGGGCGGCGTTGGGAAATAACAGGGACAGCCCCAGGAAAATCAGTGGGTTAAATAATGTCACAAAGGTTACAGAGGTGTATAAGCCCAATGCCGTCATCAGGAAGCGGTATATATACTCCGCTCCATGTGGGAGGATTTGGTTTAATAGGAACGGAGGGGGAGGCGGCGGCGACGTGACCCCCAAGAAGTACGAGTCCTGCATCATGAGAACCTTGATGACATCCAAAAGGAGATAGTATTTGAGACAGTCGAAGGCTACGGTGCGGATGCGGGTCCCAGCTCCTGGATATGATGCAGTGACCTTACTTGCGCCTCGAGGATATTGTGATGGTGGTCCAGACTTGAGTTGCGATTCCACAAAGGGAGGCAAAGGGCCCATGCTTGATATACGCCAATTCCATTCGGGGCCCCGCATGTTGAGAAGAAGGCCCAACGACCAATTCAACCTCTTCGAAAGGGATCGAGGATACGGCTGCCATATAAGGGATTCAGTATACTGCTGTTCCTTTGGTTTTGCGCCTTTTAATCCACTGTCCATACGGGCATATCCGTTCTGGGTGGAGCGCTTCGACGTCACATCCACAGTCGTTCTGGCCTTTCGCTCAACGCGTAAAAATTCCTTCTCGACGTCGTGAAAAACCAGCAATGTCGCAGACCATATGAACCACCATGCGACCACCAAACCTACCATGTATCCATTTGCACCAAGAAGGGCCCGTCGGTGTCGGATAGCCTCGAGGGCCAGGATAAAGATGAGGACGAGGACGAAGGGTCGGACATAGCGAGTACTTTGCCGACGAGGAATGACAAGCGCCGATACTGGGAGGATTGTGAAAAGGGTCAAATGCCATAGAAAGACGGGTTTTAGCTCCCCGTGTTGGATCTGCGCGTCCAATTGATCGCGATTGTCGCGAACGATGTCGAGGTAGGAAAGGAGAGAACCGGCCATAGGGGTGATCCGTTGGAATTCTAGGCAAAAGCGTCCCAGAAAAAGGAATAATTAACCTCTGTTCAGACCCCAACAAACCAACGAATAAAATTCATATATAATAATACTGTATACTGTATATATACTTAAATAAATGAGTTAGGAGAATGTAGTATGGTTAGAATAAAGTCAGAACCCGCGAGCTTATCCTAAACGTTGCTGCAAGGGATATCGGTGTGGGATTTGCCTTTGATCTAATCACCTCGCCACAGTGAGACCAGTCATACCGCAAGATCTGCTCCAAAGATGTTCCATAGATAGCAATGAATGACGAACCAAGCAGCTGGCTTTTGAAAGCCAACAGCCCGATGTTTAGGTTCCACCGCCATTTTCAGTGACAACGCGACCGAAGGAGATGTTCCACTTTCTTTAGCATATATATTTCCAGGCAATGACAAGAATCGTACTAGTCATAGCCCCTCCGAATATCCGATTGAGCGGACAAGTTCGTTTCTCGTATCTCATTCAGGTAACAGACTGATGGAAGTATGAACCATTTTGATTAGACTGCATTAGTCCAGTGGATTTGGAGAAGCCGATGCGGTGTAACCCATAGTCGCCATCGTGCTGAGACCAATCAAGCCGGGGTAATCAAGGAGCCTCACGCGGACCGAGGATCTGGATTTATAGTACGGCAAGACCCTTTCTGATCCCGTGGAGATCAGTGCTTGTAGAAAGCTTGTCAACAGGATGGTATACTATATAGCCATGGCTTTCGTTGTGGATGAGTTCGATAAGTCCCGAGCATCGATCATACTTGGTCGTCAAGCAAGTATATCGGAAGCGGGCGAAACCATGATGGGGTTACATCACATAAATAAATCAGCACTAATGATGTTCGAGACCACGTGCCCATAATTGTGAATTTCTTTTTTTTTTTTTTTTTCTTCTTGCAGTTGAGAAGTACTTCTCCTCATTTCTAAAATTCCCACCGCTCTTGCGAAGTTGCCTGGTGAGCCTACGGATTAATCAGCTTCACCTCTTAGTTAGTTAATAACAAATTAACACAGTGGAGATGCCTCCCTCCCGGAGAGAAGATACATCGCAATACACCTTGATACATCGTTTTATGCTGTGAGACTGATGCATTTCTCGAGACTTGACCTCCGGAATTAGATTGTCGGCATTCTCCGCCCTAAAATCCTTCGTCTACCATGGTGCCGTGCTTTCTTAGCCAGTGTCGGTTCTGATTGGATTGATTTATAATTGATCATCAGATTCAATACCCGATTCATCACCAAACTTTATGCTATACTGAAAAGTCCTGCATAACGTTGTTAACGCCGACATCTTGAAGCTGTTCGCCGCGAATGACACGGCCGATTCTGTGCTGACTGATGGTGATGGTACCGTCACTAGTGCCGTTAAGCCCGATGGTGTCGTTGCCTGGTTTAATCCCCGCTGGGGTATCAGTATACTTAATACCTGACTTTATGCATGTTGGGCTTGATCATGGCTTTGCTCTCGATTTTTTTCAGTATCCCAATCTTTTCTGAACCAGGTCTCTGTCTCCTCAAACTGGATTGTCTCCTGTCCGATTCTCAACTGAGCCTTAAATTATGTGGCGCTTGATCGGTTGATCTATAATCTACTTAATTTTTTTGTCCTGCAAATCATTCTATTGTCTCGATTTACTTTTACCCGCTCTTCTTTGTTCTAGGGTTCCGGTTCAACGCAAAGGAAAGCAACAAGATTGAACAGAGAAGCAGGGGGAAGAAGAAACTAGTATCACACCCTTACACGTTACTAGCGCTTAGGCCATTGGCCTATATTCAACAAGCATGGCAGACAAAGGCGAGCCTGTCAAGCCTACTCGCATTCCACACTGGCGCCTTATCATCGACCAAGCGATACTTACTCAGGAAGTTATTGATCACCCTTACGCTGGCTCCGGTACTGAAGATGAGCCTTTTCTCGTCACATGGCTCCCCAATGATCCACGAAATCCTATGAATTTCCCAGATAGCCGAAAATGGTTCTACACAGTAACAGTCGCCCTCGCGACCTTAGCGGTGTCGCTAGTATCTTCTGCATACACCGGCGGCGTGGATCAAATTATGGAACAATTCCACTGCGGTTCAGAAGTAGCCACGCTGGGAGTATCCTTGTTCGTGGTAGGATTCGCCATCGGCCCGTTACTCTGGGCGCCCATGAGTGAGCTATATGGACGACAGTATCTCTTTATCGGCAGTTACTGTGGGTTGACAGTGTTCAACGCCGCTTGTGCAGGGTCAAAAAATATCTGGTCACTTATCATCTTCCGCTTCTTCGCAGGTTCTTTTGGATCGTCGCCGCTGACTAACGCCGGCGGAGTTATTGCAGATATGTTCCCAGCCAGCCAGCGGGGTATAGCAATGAGCGTGTTTGCAGCTGCCCCATTCCTAGGTCCAGTGCTTGGTCCAATTATTGGAGGGTTCTTAGGCATGAAGGCAGGTTGGAAGTGGGTGATGGGGTTCCTGGCCATCTTCTCGGGTGTTCTCTGGATTGCTGGGTCAGTCTGTGTTCCGGAGACTTACGCCCCTGTCCTTCTGCAGCGGCGGGCAGCAAAACTCTCTAAAGTTACCGGAAAGGTCTACCAAAGTAAGATCGAGGCAGACCAAGGAAAGAAAACACCCAAGGAAGCTTTTCAGATCGCCCTATCTCGACCGTGGATCCTACTATTCCGTGAGCCGATTGTGCTCCTGTTGTCGATCTATATGGCTATTATTTATGGTACCCTCTATATGATGTTTGCCGCCTTTCCCATTGTCTACCAAGGCCAGCGAGGATGGAACCAGGGCGTTTCTGGTCTGGCCTTCCTGGGAATTATGGTTGGCATGATTGTTGCGGTAGCCTACACACTCTGGGATAATAAACGTTATGTGAACACTCAGGCACGACACAATGGATTCGCACCCCCCGAGGCTCGCCTGCCCCCTTGCCTGATTGCCTCGGTTGTGATACCAATTGGTCTTTTCTGGTTTGCCTGGACGAATTACCCATCCATTCATTTCATGGCCAGTATCGCCGCTGGTGCACCATTCGGATTTGGTATGGTGCTGGTCTTCCTCAGCTTGATGAATTACTTGATTGATGCCTATACAATCTTTGCTGCGTCCGTGCTGGCTGCCAATTCTGTGCTTCGTTCAATCTTCGGTGCTGTTTTCCCGCTCTTCACCTCATACATGTACAATGATCTAGGTGTGCACTGGGCGTCCAGTATCCCCGCATTCCTAGCCCTCGCGTGCGTCCCGTTTCCATTTCTCTTTTATAAATACGGCCCAGCGATTCGGACACGATGCAAATATGCAGCGCAATCGGACGCCTTTATGAGGAAGTTGATGGAACAAACTACCAATGTTCCGGAAGAGACAGACGTTGAGAAGAAGTACGAGAACAGTGCCACGGAAGGGTCGAAAGAGGTGGATGATGCTCTGTCTGAGCCCACCCCAGCGAGCTCGCAACTGGATGATCTCCCGTCTGTCAAGTATGACCGAAGAAAGTCTATAGCATCACAGGCGTCGCGCCGGTCTGAGGGAGTCAATTCTCAGACGGTGTATGATGCTAATCCGTATGACATTGATCGGGTCAACACCCGCGAGTCATTCAAGTAGATCATCCGCCTGTTCTTATCTTTCACTCATCACAGCTGAGTGTATCATCATGTATTGTGATCCGTTGATGGATCCGGAACATCCCCTTTCTGGTTACAATACCCCTTAAAAATACCCTATAGATAGTGTTTAGTTGTTTTGTATATAATGTCTATAGAATCCACTTGATAGAACCTGTGTATTTGTGACTTAAACTTGCTGACGATTCATCATGAATCTGATAAAGTGCAACCAACATTGGATCACGTGGGGTCGCGTCATAGCGCGTTGGATGTTTGACGTCCACTAGCCCCAAAGAGGAATAGTCGGGATCGATACGTAGATCGACTGGTCGCAACCATGAACAATGAAATCGATCCTGCTTCTCCTAAGCAGCAATTGCAGCCCCTTGACCACTTATCAATCCCCCAGACCATGATGCGCCCGGAGAGGAAAGAGACAGGCTGATCAAATAGATCTGACCCAAAGTGATGATACAAATCAACATTCGACCCCCAAGATACCCCGCGTCAGTCATGGACAGCGTTTTGGCGAGGCTGCCCTCTTTGTGCCCTTGAGCCAGTCGTCACAGGCGGCCGCAGACGATGAAGAAGATGACGCGCAAGCTGCCGATGTAATTCCAGGAAGCCAGGCTGCCGATGATCCGGCGGCCGCTAACTCGATGCTTTACGGGAATTTAAATACCAAAATCGTGGGCGTTCGTTACTATCGCGGGCATGCCACTTATGGTGAACATGTGATTTTGAGACGGCAACCAGAGAACCAGTATGACTCGAATGCTATTCGCGTTGACAACGTTATGGGGGCTCAGATTGGGCATATCCCGAGGAATATGGCGGCTAAGTTGGCGAAATATATGGTACGTCCTCAGTGAAATGAGTGCTAGTAGTGTTTTGGGTTCTAAGCTTGCATTTGTAGGATACGAGGTCATTGATTATTGATGGCATGCTGACTGGGCATATCGGGGCTTACGATTGCCCGATTGCTCTGAGTTTGTTCGGCACTAGTGACCCTGCTAGGAGACAGGAGTTGAAAAGTAAGATGGAGCAGGACAGGCTGCCTTTAAGTCAATTCAAGCAGAAAGAGCGCGAGGAGCGGCAGCAGCAGAAGGAGCGCGAAAAGGCTCGGAAAGAGGCCGAAAAAAGAGCTCGTGCGCTAGCCAAAGGCAAAGGACAGCAGTGGGAGGCGGCGAATAACTCCATGTTTTCCAACCTCTACGCTGGTGATGGCAGTATTGAGGGGGGAGAGAGTTTAGAGGAACTCATTGGTCAGAGCAGCACTTTCAACCCTCGGGATATCGGTCAAGTGGCCGAGAACTTTGGTTTAAGTGAAGCAGACTTGGCAAAAATGCCTATGGCGGATCGTCCTGCTGCCCTTTCGACGGAACTCCTCCCTTATCAACGCCAAGGACTGGCTTGGATGCTCGAGAAAGAAAATCCCACACTCCCTGCTGCGGGGTCTGAGGATGTGGTACAACTCTGGAAGAGAAAAGACAATAGGTTCACCAACATCGCAACAAACTTCTCCACCTCCATTGCGCCACCTCTTGCAAGTGGCGGTATCCTGGCTGATGATATGGGGCTTGGAAAGACCATCCAAATCATTTCACTAATTCTGGCAAACTCGGCACCGAGGACCCCAGACTCCTCCAAAACTACTCTGATAGTAGCTCCTGTAGGCGTTATGAGCAACTGGAAAAACCAAATACAAGATCACACACACAGCGAGAGCGCACCACGGGTACTCGTCTATCATGGGACAGGAAAGAAAGAAGCCGCCAATCTTGACCAATACGACGTGGTAGTAACAAGCTATGGTGCCCTTGCAATGGAATACAACCCGACTGCAAAAGTGCCTCCGAAAAAAGGAATTTTTTCCGTCCACTGGCGCCGGATAGTCCTTGATGAGGGACATACGATCCGTAATCCCCGGTCTAAAGGCGCGTTAGCAGCATGTAATCTACGTGCAGACTCTCGCTGGACCTTAACCGGCACGCCAATTGTCAACTCCCTCAAGGATCTTTATTCTCAGATTCGCTTCCTAAGGCTTTCCGGTGGTCTTGAGGATATGACAGTTTTCACTAGCGTGTTGATCCGACCTCTTATGTCTGAGGATCCGAATGCTCGTTTGCTTCTCCAGGCACTTATGAGTACCATTTGTTTACGTCGTAGAAAAGATATGGAGTTTGTGAACTTGCGTCTGCCGCCCCTTACCTCCCGCGTTCTCCGCATTAAGTTCCACACTCACGAACAGGAGAAATATGATATGTTCCAGTATGTATTAACGCGCCCTGGAAGCGTCCGTGGTATTTGCTCACAGTCACACTAGGTCCGAAGCGAGAGGCATGCTTCTAGATTTCAAGTCTAAAGACAAGTCCAGTACCACCTACTCACACCTCCTCGAAGTGATCCTCCGCCTCCGACAAGTCTGTAATCACTGGGCGCTCTGCAAAGACCGTGTCGAAAAGCTTGCACAGCTATTGGAGGAAAATAAGGTTGTCCCGCTAACGCCGGAGAACATCAAAGCCCTACAAGACATGTTACGCATCCAAATTGAGAGTCAAGAGACATGCCCCATCTGCCTAGACACTCTAGACCAACCAGTCATCACAGCTTGCGCCCACGCTTTCTGCAAAGGCTGCATCGAACAAGTAATCGAACGACAGCACAAATGTCCTATGTGTCGTGCTGAGATCAACGACACATCCACACTCGTCGCCCCTGCCGTCGAAATGGGCGAAAGCACCGAAACTGTTGTCGCAGACCCCGACAACCCGAGCAGTAAGATCGAGGCTCTAATCAAAATCCTCACAGCCCAAGGCCAAGCGTCCAACACAAAAACGGTCGTCTTCAGTCAATGGACTTCATTCCTGAACCTCATCGAACCTCACCTCAACCGCTATGGCATCGGCTTCGCCCGCATCGACGGCAAAATGAGCTCGTTAGCCCGTGACAACTCAACCTACCGATTCTCACACGATCCCAACTGCAAAGTTCTTCTCGCAAGCTTGAGCGTCTGCAGTGTCGGCCTCAACCTAGTGGCAGCAAATCAGGCCATCCTCGCCGATAGCTGGTGGGCCCCGGCAATAGAAGACCAAGCCGTCGACCGAGTCTACCGCCTTGGCCAAACACGCGAAACAACAGTCTGGCGCCTGGTGATGGAAGATAGTATTGAAGATCGCGTCCTGGCCATCCAGGAAACCAAGCGCAAGTTGATGTTAGCCGCTTTCCGCGAAACCGCCAAGAAAAAGAAGGTCGATGATAGAGCCACTCGGGTTGCGGACCTTGAGAAGCTGCTTACTTGATCGTGCACACAGGTCTGTGTTACAATCTTTACCGTGTCCCTGGGGATGTTTCTATTCTATTTACACTGTCTTTCGTCGGGACTGTACTACTTTCGGTGAACTACTTTCGGGCCTTTTATGTGCGGATATGGAAACGGTGTGAAGATTCTGGAATCTCATGTCAGAATTCCGCTACTTTTCTCTTGTACTTCTTTTATTATTTCTTTGTTTCTTTCGAACTTTGTCGCAATTAATTAAATAGACAAGACTTGATCTGCTGGCTAGGTTAAATTTGGAATTACAAGCGATTTGATGAGTGTTACAGCACCTTAGCAGCTACATCATTTACGCAAAGAGAACAAGATGTATACACACTCTCTAAGATATCTCATTAATTGAATTTGTTCATGTCTCATTGAATCATTCCTGCGCAGCACATGCATGGATTGACGCAAACCCGTCCCTTGGCTCCTAAAAAAACTCCGTATTGAAATGAGAAAGACATATGCTGTGGCTTAATTCTTGGGGGACAAGACAAGAAAACGTATGAAATTTACATGAGAAGTTGGAGGATAAGAGGGGAGAAAATATTAGTGAAAGTACAAGAAGTAGCCGCAAAAAGGGCAGGGGTATTGACAAATTGTAGAATGCAATATTCACGGGATAATGTGGATTAACCAATAGAAACAAGGCTTTGCAAATGCCAACGCTTGTATGATGCTAAATAGGCCCTGGATAAAACAGGATGGAAAGTAAAGACCAAAATTCCGAAGATGGTAAGAATGGCCAAGTTTCAGGTGTTTCAAGTTTCTCATTGGTAGAGGTAGGGGTCATCAGAAGAATTGTCTGATGGTGTTGTCGATTGCAGGGGTTCGGTATGGGCCATATATGCGGGTATATCATATTGCTGGACGTTTGTATCCCAACTGGCATCATCCATTTGAGGAGGTATCTGAGTACCGGCTTGCCCTAGGCTTCTGGTAGGTGAAAGCCTGAAAGGGGAGTAAAGTGCGGTGTTTTCGTTGGGTGGCTCGCTGTGAGCATAGTGCGAAGCATAGATTCCTGAAGTTGAACTAATCGCGGCTGCGGATGTTGAGGGCATGGGTGTTCTAGAAGGCTCTTGATAAACGCTTATGTCTGGTGCTAGAGCGGGAGGCCCGGTGTTGTGAGCGCTTGACGGAACTATTGGCTGCATAACAGGTGGTTGAGGAGGCATGAGAGCTGGTGGCATGGAAGCTGGTTGCATGGGAGTTGTTTGCACGTATAACGATGGGGCCCAATGCGGAGCTTGATCCACGGACAAAGCTTGCCTTTGCCTGTCCAGTACTAGCCTATTGTATGCCTCTGGGTCGGTGCGCCTAAGGCGCTCGTCGCTCAATTGCTGTTGGACACCTTGTCTCTCTTCCTCGGTCAACTTGTCATTATCTTCCTTCTGGAAAGTTTCAGTGAGGGCAATATTGCAGATTGACTTCTCCTCGCCATTATCACCCATGATGATCTTGTCCAAGACTTGTGGATCCCTTCCCAGATATTCGGCGATGTCTTTTTGCGGGACCGGCTTTGCTGGGAAAAGATATTCGCCAAGTGACTTTTGTGCCCAACGAACCGGATTCTTCTTATCGACAACACGGAAGGCAAGTTGGGTCTTGAAGACAGCCTTGTTATACATAACCTCCTCAAAGGTACCACCAGCAATGAAACGGTAAACATATACTGGTTTCTGCTGGCCCAGGCGATAGGCGCGTCCAACAGCCTGTTCTTCCCATACCGGACTAAATTTAAAGTCGAAAATAATGACCCGGTTCGCTCCAGGAATATTCAAGCCAAGCCCTCCTGCGCGTGTTGAGATGAGGTATACTTGCTGATCAGAGCCACGATTGAATCTTTTCGTCGCATCTTGTCGAGTTACGACGGGGGTCCGTCCATCTAGCCGGGAGTATCTTCGGTTTGACGATTGAAGGGTGTGCTCAATATAATTGAGCGTTGGGATGCTGTGGGAGAAAACCAAGATCTTGTCACCGGCCTTAATAGACTCGTCGATTATCGCATTCATTATCTGCGCCCGATGAGACATTTCTAATGCTTTTAAGTCAGGGACGCTGGCAAATATTTGTTCTTGTTCAGAAACCAGCTTTTCTGAATCTGGAAGGCCTGCTTGCGCGATAGGTTCATCGCCGGGAATCATCTCCTCGCCTAGCCTCTTGTTTATTTTCTGTGCATCGCTTGCTCGGCTTAGTAGTTTGTCTCTGAAACATGATGGATGATTGCAACATAGACTCAGAATCGCAAGCCAGGACCATAGTTGTGCACTGCCGAAAGTGCCTTTTCCTTGCAATATAGTCTCCACATATGAATTATATGCTTGTCTCTGTAAATTCGTCAAGGGAACCGTTATGACGAACTCGACTTTGGTTGGTAAACTACCAGCAAGTACAGAAATATCGGCACGATTGATCTTTGGGGCAAGGATTTCTTTGAGGACTTGAAGCTTCACCAAAGACTTTCTCCTCTCGGTGTACGTACTGTCTACGTAAAGTCCCTCCGTAATAGGCTCCACGAACTTTGCCTTAAACTCCACGAATTCGCCGAGGTAGCCCTCTGCAATCCAGTTGATCATGGCATAGTAATCGATAAGATTGTTTGCAAGAGGGGATCCAGTCAGGGCAATACGACTTTTAGAGCGAAACTGCATGGCTGCTTGCGAGATGCCAGTGGCTGGGTTTTTCATCTTGTGGGCCTCGTCGGCAACAATAATGTTCGGTCCATCCAGAAGGCATTCTCTGACCTTTTGATATTGACCCTCGTTTAACGGCTTTCCCCTCTTGTTGGTTTCCCTGTTCAGTATCCACGTCCGGAACAGGTCATAGCTCATTATAAGGACCCCGCCTTCTTCATCCCAGTCACACAACTCCTGTAGCCTCTCTGGCATTGTCTCGGAAGTTGTTATCTTCCTCAGAGGTCCGATACCCGATTGGACAGGAGCCCACATGAGAAATTCGTCAAACCAATTTTCAATTAAGGACGACGGGCAGAGAATCAGCGATTGAGATCTATGAAAAGCTGCAGGAACCTGCTGGCGTATCTTGGGATCATCGGAAGATGCTGCTGCAGATATTGTTGCAAGGAGGGATATAACCTGCATCGTTTTCCCTAAGCCCATTGTGTGAGCGAGCAGACAACCTTGCTTGTTCTCGTCTTCTATCAACTCTCGCCACATGAATTGAACACCATTCAATTGGTGGGGCTTAACACGCAAGCCAATTTGAGGGTCTAGATAAATAGCAGGATTTCCAAAGCTGACTGCTTGACGCGTAGGATCGGTGTTGGTGCTACCTATCTTCCTTTCGAGGATCTTTCTCTGCTTCTCTTGCAGTGCGACACGAAGCTGTGCACTCTGCTGACTCTTTTTCGCATTTTGACTTTCCTTGACCTCTCTCTTGCGCTTTTTGTGGGGAGTGTCTGTGGGATTTGGGGTCTCTTCCTTTCCATTGAGCCGGTGCATCTTAGAGCCTTTCTTCTTGCGATAATCAGTGAGGCGCGCGCAGAGTTCGTTGAAGTACGTGATAAAGCCGCTGATTTTAGATTGAGCGTTGAGTACGAGACTCTTCTGAATTCCTTCCGACACAAGATGGACACAGTTTACCCACGAGATATAAAAGGAAGTAACACGCATGACCACACGGCTCTCAGCCGCCTCAAGTTCTGGAATCATTTGTTGGTTCTTCAGCAAGAGCTTTAGACCAGTTCCTGTGAGTTGCTGCAAATCTGAACTAGAATATCGAGGAACTGCTTGCGCTAACTTATTTCGCTCTTCAATAGAAAGGGTTGCAATCAGTTTTGCTAATAGTCTCTGGCGGTCTTGTCGCTCTTCAATTAAACCCCAGGGCACCGACACAAACTTGTCCATGTCGTGTATATCAGGGAGACTTGGCCGCTTCCTGGGTTTGAACTGGTTTGGGTGCGTTGTTTTGTAAACTGGAATTTCGACCATCACCCTGGGACCAATGTATGGTTCCGGGGAAATTGAGCAACTCCGTCCAGATTCGATAGGATCCCCCACAGGCTGTGTTATTGGTCGTGGTACAGGGTTGAGGGGGGAGTCTCAACCCTGTAATCCTCTTCATTATCAACAGCCGGAGAGTCTTCTGTAAGGTCAATGTATTCTATAGGGAATTTATTCTTATGCAAAGGAGGTGGAGACGGAGAGCTAGACTCCCGAAAAGGGAGTTTTCTCCTCCTTGTCTGTCGTCTAATCCCAGAAGGGCTGATAATGTCATCATCATCACTTTCAGATGTTGGTGGGGTTCGAGTGTTGCTATTATTTTCAACGTGTATGGGCTGGTCCCCAATATCAGAATTGTCAATGAAATCATCCATAGAATCATCAGACAAATCGTCTGACTCTGAATGAAGTGATTCTTCATCCCCAGAGTTATGTTTCGGTCTTTGTGCGGGCGTAGGTATGAGAGGAGCTGAGATTCTTGGTGGACACGTTTCTTGCTCAAGGGTCGAAACACGCCACCTATGTTGTTGAATATCCATCACAGTCTGCTCCATGCTTTGACACTGAGTTTGTAGCTCGGCCTTCGTTGCATACTCACTTTCACGGACTGCGTCCTGCAGTTTCCTAAGACGCTCGTTTAGAGATGTTATCTTCCGATCGAGCCCTTTAATTTCTTGGTTGGTACACTTTCCCTTCTTAGCCCTCAGCCAGAGCTTGCGTGCCTTTTGCTGTTCCTTTGGCAAGCAGGTATCATGCCACTTGCTCTCATATTGGGAGATACAATCTTTGATAACAGATTCCATCTCCCTGGGCGTGAGTTTAGAGGGTTTCCCAGACCATCCTCCTTGGTGTTCGTCTTCAATTTCTTGCCAAGTCTCTTCGTCAAACTCACCCTCGGATCCTGAGTCTCCATACAATGGAAATGCATCCTGACTTTCACCTTGTACTGGGTATCGCTGGAGAAGATAAGAGAACGGGTCAGAAGGATCTAGTGTCTCTGTCGGCACATCCCCAGAGACTTGATCTTGGGTAGAGTCCAGGGGTATGAGCTTTTGTTTCTGGAAGGAATGAAGACACCTGTTCACAAACAAACGCTGTGCAGTTGGAAAGTTTGATCCAACCATTGTGAAGGACTCGTCATTTTGGTCTGGATCAGTAGAGGAGAACAATTGAGATGGTGTAATTTGTTCCGGCCCCATATACCACTCCTTGGCTTGCACCGGATCTGAAGGATACTCGTTATCAACTCGACTTTTAGTCAGAGTAGTGAGGTCTAGCCGTCGCCGTTTCCTTCCGTGTGTATCGACGAAAACTTGCTCATGTGAGCGAATACGCTCAACGGGGTCCAAATCTTCTACACGAGTCTGCAAGTTTGTGATGTGAGAAGTGTCTTGAGGAGTACTTGAAGGGTTCGTAGATTCTCGTGAATTGGGCACAACTGCCAAATTTACAGCGTTTGTACTCACCGCCGTAGATACACTGGGTAGTAAGTTAGTACGTTGTGGAGTTGCGTTTAATATAGGGCCACAGTAAAGCGGTGGTGTAACTTTCTGAGAAGCTTTCGGTGTAATAAACGCTGAATAACTTGGAGTGTGACATTCTCTAGGAGAATCAAGTCGACTTTTAGAGGTCTGATATTTTAGAGAGTGTCCTTGAAGGTACCGTATTGCCGTGAGCATGGAACTCCGGTGTCCAAGGGCCCTCAATCCTAGATCATCTCGCAGTGCGCTCTTATCAACATCATTTAAAAGCACTTCTCCAGTGATCAGATTGTCACGGAGAGCAGCCTCAAAGGAGGTAGGGTCAGGCCGAGGGGCCCCTGACACGGACTGTGACCATGGGGTGTGTGGATTGTGGCAAAGAAACTGGACCACATCGTCGACAGACCAGTCGACAGGATCTGTTCCCTCATCAGGCATTTGGTCTGTTCAATTCGAATTCTTAGCTATCAAGGTAGTTAAATATTCCCAATCATGCAAGTGATCTCACCAGATCTCGGGCTTTCGGCCCGCCGGAATTGATGATGCCCTCGAATCACATCCAGAGGCCTGCGTTGTCTGTGTATTAGTAGTGACTACAGTTTAAAGTGACAGTTTTATGCAACTGGACACGTGCAACGCGTCGAGTACACGGTGAGTAGGAGATAAATGAAAAGTAAAGTGATCTACAAGTAAAGTTGGCGTTTCTGCCGGTTTTAAGGGCGGTGTATCAAGCGGTGTCTCGGAGGGTTCGACGATAAAGTGGATTGATAAGCAGAGTTGAGGCCACTGCCCCTCACTTTTTGGTTGTTGATGAGGTCGGTTTTCCTCTCTCCGCGCAACTTTCTAAGGCGTCTCCTGCTTAAAACAGTTCTCCCCTTGGTGCGCGTCTCCTAATTGTTCCTTTTGAAAATATAGTCTGTCAGCTGCATCCATCATGGGCGACATTTATACCAATTATCCTCCTCCGTTGAACCCCGCACAGAAGGAATACTTGGTGACCACCATCAAGGATTGGGCCACGCAGAATGGATTGCTGGTTCGCCCGGCCCCTTCATTTGTTTCAAAGGAAATCGATCCTTCTGGGGTACTAGCGACGAATGCTCCTGTTACTCTCTTCCCTAGTCCCTTCCCGAAATCATGCTTCAATGAGGCGACGGCTTTGCAAACTGTATATAATCGGCTCTACGCTGCGATAACATGTAACGAAGAATGGATTGGCAAGATCATGGAAGAGTAAGATATATCCTGATTCATCTCCGATTGAGTGGTGGGCGCGACTCAATTGGCGCGCCATTCGCGAACTAGACATGAACCGAACTGAGCGATGTTTGCTTGTAGTCTCATTGATGTGGATGATTTCATTTCGCACCTGTGGAAAGTCCATCTCGCCGTCAAAAAGGAAGGATACGTCCAGACACTATCACTTGGACTGTATCGGTCGGATTATATGGTCCATGCGCCGTCCAGCTCTACGGCACCCTCCTTAAAGCAGGTTGAATTCAATACTATTTCATCATCATTCGGAGGCTTGTCCTCGCTTGTGACATCTCTGCATACTGAACTTCTCGACTCTCCTCCTGGCCATCCAATTGCGTATCCGCCTCACCCGTTGTTCGAGTCGAATGCACCTCCTGAGAACACAGCAGTGGAGACTCTTTCCGCTGGGTTAGCTGCAGCGCATAATGCCTACGGCCCGTCAAAGTCCACACCAGCCCTTCCCATGTGTATTATATTCCTGGTTCAGGAGAACGAGAGGAACACATTTGATCAATTGGCGCTCTTCCGGCAGCTGACCAAGGCTCACAAGATACCCGTTTTCCGTCTGCTCAGCTCCGAGATTCTAGATCACACGTCGATCCCTAGCTCCAACCCATCACGACCCCTTATTTATTCGCCTCCCCATTCCCCGGAAACGCAATTTGAAGTCACAGCAGCTTATCTCCGATGCTTCTATGCGCCGACTGACTTCAAATCGGAGCGTGACTGGGAAGCACGGACTCACGTCGAGCGTTCGGCAGCGATCAAATGCCCCACAGTTTTAAACCAGCTGGCCGGTTGTAAGATTGTACAACAGGTATTAGCCGAAACTACGGGCCCCGACCACCTTGCAAGCTTCTTACCTGATACCGACTCAGCCGTTGTTGCAAGGCTCCGGAACACCTTTGCGCCCCAATACGACTTGTCCTCTGGTGGCCGTGGCAGGGACCTCGCCTTGAATGTTGAAACAGCCATGAACCACGTTCTTAAGCCCCAGCGCGAGGGTGGTGGTAACAACATCTACAAGGACGCCATTCCAGACTTCTTACGCTCCATTCCCGAAAGCGAATGGAAGCGCTGGATTCTTATGGAGTTGATCAGGCCACCCACCGAGGCAAAGAACATTGCCTTGAGAACCGATGGAGAGGTTCTAAGTGGGGAAGTTATCGGAGAGTTGGGTGTCTATGGAACTATTCTGTGGGACCAGGCCGATGGAAAGATCTCCCACAATGAGCAAGGCGGATGGCTGATGAGAACGAAGTCCAAGGATGTCAACGAGGGAGGAGTTGCAACAGGCTTCTCCAGCTTAGACAGCATTCTCCTCTATTAGAACCAGTATAGTAGAAATCATATGGAATATAGAGCAATCCAAGTGAAGTTATAATTTCCTCCCCTTACATTGAATGAGCACGTAGAGTCACTATAAAACATTGCCAATCACTACTCATGAACAAACTATTCACACAGTCAAATAGCCTTTCTTTGTCCTGCAGTGACCCCTCGCTCTCGGCGCATGAAAGAAAGCAGGATATACTGCATATTTTATGCACACACGAGAAATATATAAACACCCTCAATCCCTCCCTCCCTCCCTCAGATGGCACCTCCAAAGTTGACCACGTGAGTCATTCACCACACAACCAAGGACCTGGCCACACATCCCATCCCCCATCTATCGACCGCACCTCACCTCGAGACATTATACCTGAAAGTGTCCGGCCACTCACTATCAGGCAACTGCCTCCAAGAAGTCAAACCCAACTGTTTCGCGCGCTCCGACAACCTAAAGAACACGCTCTGCGCAACCCTAATGCGGTCACTGGGGATCTCGGCCCTGCCCTCATTGAGGAAGTAATCCAAGGGATAAGTGGAAGGCGTATGGGCAGCCAGGGCACGATCAGCAAGATGCACCGGGACACCATCAGCATACACAACATCCATGGTGGTGTTGTAGCGGATCTGATCGACGGACCAGCGCTCGACGCGCTCGACATCGATTTTGTTCAGGCGGCCTGGGGTGCCACGACGGTATGTCCAGCAGGATAGGCGGAGGGGGCGACGGGCGTCGCGCTCTCGACGCATGTTGAGGGCGTTTTCGGCGGGGCGGAGACGCGGAGGAGCGGTCATGCGCACCCGGATGTCGCGGTACGTGAGGCGTGGATCGGTGCGCATCCAGTACTCCAGGAGCCAGCCGGGCGGGTTGCTGGTGATGTACCGCGGGAGGAAGGGGAAGTCCCAGATCTCTCTGTCTTCGTGGTCGCGGGCTACCGCGCCGTTTTCTGAGAGAGAGGTGAGGTCGGGGAGGTCTTGTCCGATGGGGGCGTCCATGCGGAAGAGGATCGGGGGCAGGTGGACCTCTGAGTAGGGTGTATGGTGTGGGTGTGGGCAGGTGTGGTAGCGGTCTGTTGGTGGTGAGGTGTCTGTGGGCTTTGTTAGGAGGGTTATCGTCGTGCTGGTGATTGAATGGTTTCTTACGTTGGCACTGCATCCTTGAAGCACGATGGTGATACTCTTGACAAGTCGGGAAGGGGGCTTGATAGGGTGGGTTGGATAGTGAGGAGGAGCGGTTGAAGGGGTATGAGGGACTGCTTTTATAGCCGTCTTGTGGGAATGATGGAGATACATGTCTACGTGAATAACAATGCTTTGACTGGATACTCTAGGCAATGGTATTGGGTCTTGGTGATTGAATCCATGATGCTTCAGTGAAGGGTCTAGCTTAAGCAATGGGATTGGAGCAATGCAGTAGGATTAACTGTTCATTAAACGCCAGACGTAGTGGTGAAACATACGCTAAGCTTGAATAATCATAGCTCTAAAGAGACAAAGACAAGGTGGCAATCTGTGATGCCGAACAGGAGCAAGTACGTCCTTTAATTGGGTCAATGTCCATCCAGAATATCCACTGTGTCTTGTTATATAATGACTTCGCCTCCTTCACTTCACTGAGATGTGCTTTACCATTTAGAGATCTAGCGTGAGAGCCAATCTCTTTTGTCTCTTTTCTGCAAACGGTTAGCAAGAAGCAAACTAGAAAAGAAAACTCGAAGGAATAAAGAAGAAGAGGAATCCAGACAAAGAGACACCTGAAATACCATCTACGATATACAGTACTTTGTTCATCACTACTTTGAAATGTGCCACCCTCGAGCCTTTTATTTGCTACATATTCCCTTGACTTTCCATCAGACCTTGCTCTAAGGTCTTAGCCATGATTATTGTTCTGTCAAGCTCTGAATTCAACATGACTACGGCAGTATGTACGGGTCAGCCCAACAAACCTACATTGGACATATGCCCTAGCATTCCCACATTGGCTGACATTACTAAGGAGTTAAAGGCCATTTGCCCCAACGAGCAGAAGCAACTCGTTCACAATACTTATATTGCTCTGCTGTACAGAGTTTACATACATAACACCAAGCAAGGTATTTGACATGTGCGCTATGTGACGGAAATAAATGCACCTTGGCATGCAACTTTAAATGAATATCAACTCGTCCGGCGAATATCCTCGCTGCAGAACCAAAGGACCAAAGAAACAAAGGAAATAAGGACAGAGCGCTAGTACGCCTGAGCAGGGGATATCGAAGCACAGATTTGACACACAATGTCAGACATTATTGAAAGATTGGGTATTAGGAAGCTCAACAACAAAACTTGCGATGCGGCAAGGTAAAACGACTAAACAAGCAAAAGACAAGAACAAGCAAGGCTGAACAACACGATTCGAAGGGCATAGGTGCGTGTATGCAAAAAGCTGAGATTTACAGCAGCACAGAATATCAAGAGCCGCATTGGGGAACTGAACATCGTCTCTATCCAATCCCTCCTGCCATGGCCCAAGAAACTATTTCTGAAAATAATAGTCATAATCGTCGATGTTAATGTCATTGATATCGCCGATGTCCATCATCTCCATGTCCTCCGGGGCCATGTCTGGGATATCGAAGAGGTATCTGTTCCTGGAGAGGCATTGTTCGAACAAACTGTCAAAGACTCGGTGGCGAACACCAAATGGCAGATCAGAGGCGGAGTACGGTGTCAATACATCAGGATACAGTCCATGGGAAGGAGGAAGTAGTTCTTCGTGCCACACACCAGCGCCAGGTTGGCCAGACACAAGAGTGAGGTTGGTATAGATGGGGGTCGGATGCTTCCCCAAGTGGCAAGCGTTGCCGCAAAACCCTCCTCTAGCTAGTTTCAATGGGGAAGGGCGTCTGCGCTGGACCTTTCCTGGGGCGATGGGTTTCAAAGTCTTTTCAGTCTTGCGTCGTGGCATGGGATCTTTGATGCTCACTGTCAAGTCGATTTCTGCCATGCTAACGGTCTCTGGCAATTCGTTATCCGGAATCACTCCCGTGATGACAGGCAGAGATCCCTCTGGGCTGTCGTTGTTTTCGTCGAATGGAATATAGGATGGAACGTAGTTGAAAAGCCCTGCGACAGTTTCGACTGTGAGGTCATCTACTGTGAAATCGATCGGAACGGACTCCACGGTAGAGGGTATCACTACGGCCGGTCCCTCTTGAACAGTCTCCCTCAACGTGTCTCCCTTCGCAACGCTTGCTGATTCCTGACTGACGTATGAAAGGCCTGCTGGCTGCTTTCTCTGAATGATGTCTTTGTGGTGGGCGTGTTCCGTGGCAGTCTCTTCCTGCACGGGCGTCTTTGAGGGCTTTCTACCCCGAGCTACTCGCTTCACCTTGTTGTATTGGTTGGGTAGCGGGATTCTCCCACCATCTTCTCCAAGGGCCGGGTTGACCAGGCCGGGGGTTATACCGCGAGTCGTATTTAAAGCAGGAGAAAGTCCGATATTCTGCATCTTTTGCAGTATGCCTTGCTTGAGCTGCCGGCTACGCTTGTTACCAGAGTCCCATGCAATCAGCGAGAACTGCTGGCGGAAGCGGACACTACGCTGCTGCAGCGCGTTGTCTTGGATTCTGAAAACTGGGTGCATTCGGTCAGTGATATCTCTGAGACGAATGCGTCTATCGAGCCGCATCCAAGCTTCCACTCGGAACTCCTCGACCGTCGAAGCAATGTTGTCAGGAAGTATGGGGAGGTCGCGCAAATATTCGCCATGGATAGGGTAGCGCATGCGAGGTGGATCCGATTTACGATCTCTCTTGTCTTCAGGCTCGAATTGGTAAAGTATGTCAGGAAGATCTGTCCATGACCAGCCACTCTGGTCCGGTCGAGGAGTGGTAAAGTTGCGGGGGTCAATAGCCTGAGGACTGTCCTGCCGGGGCACTGACTTTCCTATGCCGTCGTCAGTACTGTCTTTTTGTTTAGCTAGGGAAAGTACTGGCTCACCTTTGTCATTCTTTCCTTTGATTTTCTTCGCACTGACCTTGGCGCTCTTTGGGGTTTCGGGATTCATGGAGGCATTTGGCTGTTGGGACAACTCGGGGCCTTCTTTAGGATCCATCATCTTCGAAATTGGCTGTCATTGATGTTAGTATGCACATCGATGCTAACATATCCCATATACTGTTGATGACACTAGCACTGGCATACCTGAGACATGTTGTCTTCCTCTTTCTTGGGATATACTCCGAAGAGGTGGTTGTTCTACAGCTGATATCGAGCAGTATCTGAACAAAATGAGAGGGAAACGAGAGAACGGAGCTCAATTGATACTGAAGCAGACTTGTAGTTTAGAGTCTTGTAATATGGACGAAGAGGTATGAAGCGGTTGAAGCAATCCCAAGTCTCTGTCAAGAAGCGCCGAGGGACGAAGTGGGCGAGCCATTATCTCTAGCAGCCCGGTATTCTTCATGTCTACTCTGAATAGAAACGGGGGTGGTTGGGAGTATAGTCATCCCAATTGGGATGTTGAGAGGGTTTCAAGTTGCTGTCGACAATATTCACTATTCACTGAAGTTGTGTCGTGAGGTCCTGCTCCAAGCCCCCTCCTCGACAACTTTGACCCTCGCTTTCCAAAAAGCATCCCATTGCTTTCATCTGCAAATTAAAGCGATGCGATATGCGATTTTTTGCGCTTCAAATGAGTCTCATATTGCTATACTACTCTTCATGCGTTGGCGGTGCGGCTCCTCGACCGATATAGTTGCGATATCAGCACCTCGACAAGCATGCAGTTCCCCAGACCAGTGGACCCACCAGATGTCACAGACCCACCCCTGAACAAGCCATAATCAATGAGTCAAATGAATCAGTATAGCCCTGGAAGGCTGGGAACTTCTCTGATTGGTGTGATTCAAGCAGAGTGTAGCTTTGTCCTGGCTCAGTACATACAGACCTAGGGAGAGTGAATATGATTGTTCCCCGAGGCCTCTCAAAGCTCTGACGAAAATTGTAATAGGCGTTCGTCCAATCGCCGTTCCCCAGCTCCTATTGTAATATCGATGCAGAAGCCAGCTCAATGAATAGAAGCGGGACTGCATCATCTAGCCCCTTGTCTCGCCAGATGAAAGCGTGATGTTCTCCAGCTGAGCGATGAAACTGAAGGTAGTCGCCCCATAATGGGATGGGCTTGGGGAGAAACCAAAATGACAAAATTATAACTAGTAGTACCCATGTGGTTCTCTAAGCATCTGCTGTAGCAACAGTTCGAATGGAAGACAAATGTGGGGAAGGAGTACAGGGTTAGAAGATTTCACTGTCTGCAGAAGGGCTGTACAGCACATATTTTAGGTATTCTCAAAGCATCACATTATCAATGTTTCCCGCAAAAGCGATGTTTGAAAGCGGCGAACTTTGAATAAAGCCAACATGCGATTCAATAAACAAAATGAAATAACATCATGGAAAACTCAACATAAATATTGACAAATTGTATCTCATCAGAGCACCAGTAAGCGTACTTTGATCCTGAGAAACGACATGTAAATCCCACCAGTCAATGTCGGGGCCTCAGCGACAATCGTTTGATATCTATCAGACTATTTTCACAACGACGATCCAGATACTCCCAGAATGTAAGATGGGTTCCGTTAAGATAATCATCCAGGCTCATTGTCCTTTCGGTAGCTTCGGTTTCTGTGGGAAAGGCTCGAGCGGGAGGCCCTCTATGAGAAGCCAATTCACGCAGTGTAGAGGGATAGGAGTTGAAATCGGAGAGATTTTGTTGAATTGATATCCTGTCCCTTGTCTTGTATGTGGCATTATATTCCATACTGTATCACTGGGTTAGCCTCTTAGCTTCTGATAGTAGTCATGCGCGAACAACTTACCTCTCAGAATCATGAAAATTTGGCCTTTCAAGACGGCAACCCGTAAGTCTGAAGTGATCGCTATTAGGGATGCGTTTCTTCCGTATGTGCTTTGTATCCCAGTGTAACTGGTAGAGGGGTTCCGCTGATTTGCTTCGCTGGGGCTCATCGAGGATTACCGTAGGGATATGACCGGGGTGAGAGTTCTGCGTCACCAGGTGAGCCCGCTCCAAGATATCACTATCTGAATGATCTGCATGGAAAACAGAATCGGAGATACCATCGTTGGCTGCTCCTGGGGGCAGCGGAATGCGCCCGCCAGCCTCGCCTTTAGAAGGGTCGATTAGCCCCGGTGTTAGACCTCTTGTAGTGTTCGACGCCGGGTCTATTCCCATTGATACAGCCAGGCGAGATATATTATTAATAGTCTTTTGAGCTCCCCAGCATGCAACGTGAAATCGCTCTCGGAAAGCCTTCCGACGAAGTTCAATGTCAATTGATGATAATCTAGATCTGTACCTGGGGTTTACCCGGTCAATGATGTCTTGCCCAGTTATCCGACGATCGAGACGCATCCAAGCTTCAAGTCTCCACCCTTCTACCTTGGAGGATATCTGGTCCGGGAGGACTGAAAAAGCATTGATGTGCTTTCCGAAGATCTTGTGCGCGGTAGTACGAACAACGTGTCTGGATTTTCCATGTTCGGGTTTCAGGATGTACAAGATATCCGGCAGGTTCTCTAGGCTCCAGTCATCCTGATCATCATGCGAAGCTGTCATATCGTCATCCTCATGTTCTCCCCTAAGTCGAGCCTGCTGGCTTGTTGGGCTAGGAGAGTCCAAGATGATGGTATGCGGGGCGGTATGTTGGCTCTGCGCAGTGTACTGTGAATCAAAATGTAAGTATCGGGCTGGTTAGCTTCCATAGTGAAGCAAAGTATCAACATACAGCGGAATCTGAGTTATCCCGATCCTGGGTGTTCATCTGGTGCATGCTGACGGTGCTTGGGTTGGATTCACTCTCCCCGTGAGCTCTTCTCACTCTCAGCCTTCCCAGAATCACTCCACAAGGACCATAGTGGGCAGGTGTTATCATGGGGGTATTTCCACTTGGACTCTCTATCATCTTTGTAGTGAATATTTTCTGATTTCCGGTGGTGTTGACTCAGGTCTCGGGAGGAGATCCGACAGGACCTGCTGGACATGAGTGAATACTTCTTGTAAGTGTTCTTGTAACACTTACTTCACTTTGAGTCGATCAGCACCACAGCAGAGTTAGAGGTGTATACCAATACAGATCCTACAAGTTCAACTTTTGACAAAAGGATAAGTATTGGGTATAATAGATTGTAAAACTAGTGATTAACTGAAAGACATGAGAATGAAGATGGTTAGAATATAAATTGTCGGCCCTGATTCTACATGGAGTGGCAAATGGAAGAGAGTGAGGAGAAAAGGTGATTTTCATTCAGCTGCGGCCTTTGAACACAACAAACATTTCCCATCTAGTCTTTTTATCTACTGGCCTTTTGCTGTGCTCTGTACTTCAATCATTTCAATCAAGGTTTCGGTGATGTTGTGTCATATTAGGTATACAGTAGGGGTTCCAATAGACTACTTCAGTTGAGAACACAATTGAGTTTTTGGATACTGTTCTCTCTTTCAATGTGTGGAATTTCGTTTGTGTTGGAAATAAAAAGAAAAGAAGAAAAAGAAAAGAGCGGAAGTCAATCTGAAATATGGGAGGAACAAAGCAATAGCTTGCTGTTATGCGGTAGTATAAATAAAAGTAAACAAACCGTTGGCTTTCCCCACATCCACACTTTAACTATTGGCACAACATCACACCAATTGACTACAAGCAAACCATCTCTTCCACTGGAATTCTCTCGCATATAATTTTCAATCCCAATTGAAACCCTACCAATGTCGAACCCATCGTCTCAACTATTCCGTCTCATCCAGAACACGGCCACGAAACACCGTAACCCCAAGCAAATCTCGAACAAATACAATCTACAAATCTCCTGCAACGTCAAGCCCAACGCGTCCGCAAATCGGGAGGGCATCATAGCCGTTGGCCCCGAAAAAGTGGACGTTTGCGTGGCCGCAGTGCCACGAGACGGCGAAGCCAACGCGGCGGTATCACGAGTGTTTGCTCAGGTACTGACCTTCGCTCTTTATTCCTAACTATAGAATAAAATTTATTCTCAGATGATATCAACATAATTATCTAACTGGCGATAACCAGGTCCTCAAAGTCCCCAAATCCACAGTAGACGTCATTCGCGGTTTAAAGTCGCGCGACAAGACACTTTGTGTTTCTGATCTAGAAATTGGGACCGAAGGCGAAGAGAAATTTATCCAGCAAGTGCGTCAAAGGTTGGAGGAAGCGGTGATCAAGAAATAAGGTAGATAGATCATCGACCTGATCGTGGTGATCCGGCACGATCACTGTGGGACACAGGGCGTGACATCACGGGAACTCCGAACTTTTTTTTGTTAACAGCCAATCTTTATTTGCTTTAAACACCACCCGCAAAGAATTGTGCTCCGCCATTCTATAAGAAATACCGAATCATCAACAAAGAAACCCGAAAGCCAGAATGTCTTCCAACAACCCAGAACCCACCTCCTCGAAACGGAAAGCTCCCGATGATCGTGTCGCGTCTAAAGCAGCTCCGTCCCAAACGGTCCACTTCACCGCGCGCAATCCGCCCTGGACCTATCTCAAACTACAGCTGTATGTCTTTTATGACTGCTCACATGCAAGTAGTGAACCCTACTAATATACAACGTGTGTATGCTATAGAATCCATCAACCAGGCACATCGACCGCCGTCCAATCTCAGCCTCTCGACCCGCTCACAGCTCGGACATACATCAACTCTGCGCTGTCGCAATTTCTCGGCCTGTCAGGCACAGCTATCTCAATCGATATCCTTAAAATCTCCCCTGAAACTCCACAACCGAAGCCCACGGATAAATTTATCTGGGTGCGTGTCCCGCGCGAAGATGCCCCTGCTGTCGTTGCAGCGGTGAGCTCCTGGATCGGAGGGGGCACTGGTGGTGGCTCGGTCGGTAGTGTTGCGTGGAGGGTCTGTGCCAAGGGAAATTATCTGGGAGCTTTGACTCAGGGGTCCGGGGAAGATTTGTTCGTTCCATGATCTGTGATGCAGGGGAACTGTGCGTCTTAGGGATCTCCCGGTTTATATCGGAGAAGCAAGAACGGCGTGGGCTAGGCCGGTTATTCTCCTACGGCACGGTTATGCAAAATCGTATACAGCACTCGCACGCTGAACCACGAGAAGTCGGGACGATGTTCAGTCCCTATAAACGAACTTCACCGGGCAATGCGATGATGTGGAGAACTAACATCCAGTCCCGGGTCAGGAAACGATCGGAGGTTTATCATGGGACCAAGATGACTGAAGGGTGGTTTTAGTAGTGACCAAGCGTGGAGCACCAGCTATATTTCCGGGCAGTATAGCAAGCTGCAACAAGGGAACCTCGGGTGTCAGTCGCACCCACGGGATTTCGGGTGCACTTTTACAATAGTTCTTATGGCAAGATCTATGAGTCGCACTGCAAGAAAGGGAACATTTTGCCCAAACCCAAACACCCCAGGCTTTTTAATAACAACAGTCTAATGTATAAACAAATCCATCATGTACATCTGCACACCAAGTAGCGAATTTCCCAAAGCAACATATTCACAACGAATGAAACGAACGTAATATAGCAGTAACGAGTGGAGTACTTCCTGTCCCTAATCAACAGAAACACCGAAACGCGCATGCTCCAAATAGAGACCCAATGCCCGCGCTGATAGTAACTTTTCAAAGAACGATTCCTTTTTTAAGGAGGGGGTTTTGTTTTTCTTTTTCAAGTTCAAGTTCAAGCTCCAACTTTTGACGTGTATTCGTCCGTCTAAACCGATTGTTTACAGTTCACGCTTTCAACAATAGTCGACTCATCCGACCCCGAGGAAGGAGAAGGGGTGTTGGCGATCGCCTTCGTTCTAAGCGCAGCTCTGATCTCCTCGACGCTCCGGTCCTTCCACTCATTATATCCGTCCATGCTAAGCGGATACAGCACCAAGTTCTCGTCGCGGGTGGCGAAATCTTCGACACGAGGTGGTGGAGCGGCGGTGATAATATCCAGTTCCAAAGCAATCTGTCGGCAGTAGGTGTCCAGAGGAAGGTCGTTGACGTCGTGACCGAAGGGGTTCTCGATTTCGCTGCCGATGGTGGCGAGACCGAGAATGATGTATGCGGCGACTGCATTTGCTAGTTAGTCTCCATGCATTCTCTTTAAGGGGTTAGGGTATGGATTATTTACTGATTGATCCTGGGATTGTCACCCACGTGAGGGAGTTATAGAGTTGGAAGGGTAGAGACAGGACATAGAGCCAGGCGATTTGGGAGATGGCGATGCTGTATGCTGCTGGGAGAGGGGTGTCGAGGACGCGCTCAGTTCCCGTGACGACTTCATTCAGGGTAGCCAGGCCGTTGACTAGGATTTCATGTTAGCATTTATTTTAACCGCAGAATGACAAAGACGCAAGTGGGACGTACTGGCTTGTGCTTGATGCAAACTGACGTTGAGAGTCTCGTTTGCGATACATCTGTCGATATAAGCCGACAAATGGTTGAGAATCTCCAAAGGAAGATGGCCCAGTGGTTTCTTGGATCGCTTGATGAGCTTCCTGGGATTCGACTCGGCAAAGGAGATACCCAGGTATTCACCTGTCGACTTCCAGAGTGTCTTGCGCTGGGGCTGGAGGCGCTGGCGGTCATGTGCATCTTTGGCGAAGGTGTCGAGGTAGCCGGCCAGGCCTGCAAGATCTTCGTAGGCGATGTCCGGCTCGAAACGGAGTTTGTGTTTGAGCGCGACAGCGAAGGCCAGGATGAGGTTCATTGCGGTTCTAATACTGGTCAGAAGAGAAGATATCTGATGTCGTTTGAGATTGGTTCCAGCGTACAGCTTTTGCAGGAGGTCCTCCTTTCCCAACTCTCCTTCGCGTTCCTTAGTGTTGACCCAGATAGTGCGAGCAAGATTGCGCGAGGTCTGGATCAGCAGTGACCAGTATTTGCGTCCGTCGGCCCATCTATATGATTCAGTTAGAACTTTCTCAAGGCACACAATTCGGTATTTAGTAGCTCGCTGACCTTTCGTAAGCAGTAGAACTCCGGAAAGATAGTGCCAAACCAACGACGAAACCTGTAACTGTGAGCAGAATGTTGTTGATCCCAACTAACCGTTGATTAGCCGAACACATTCCTTAATGAACTCCCCAGTTATACTAACGTCTGTGTACAAATCTCGAGATGAGTGTAATCAGAGTAGCCCATACCGCAACAAAACATAGCGGAAGGATCATCTTGGGCAGCACACTGCCATGCATTCGGAGGAAGGTGGGCCATTTCGAATGCTTGTCCAAGTCACGGGGGCCATGCTGGATGCGGAACTTGGTTAGGACATTGTTTATATCTCATGGATGATAATAAAAGCTCAAGCACATACGAAGTACCGATCCAGTTCGCTGGAGTTCCGTCGGTCAAGCATAAACTGGGAATCTCGAGAATTGGCGAGGTTGTCTAGAAAGGTCGGCCGTGGGGTTATACGGCGAACTGGTGACGACTCTCGTTCCGGGACGGTTCCTTGGTCATGATGAGCAGCATGAGAACGAATGTCGGCTTGAACTGGAGCAGGACCTTCTCCAGCCTGTGCCGGCACGTCGGCAGCGGGTGGTGAGCTGTGTCCCTCCATGGAGAGTTTGGGAGTGTGCAAACGGATTAGGAGCACGGGATCAACGAGGGTATGAAGGTAAGCGCTATCGAGACTCTAACAAAGGAAAGGAGAAAGAAATGAATGTATGTGAAAGCGGGTGATTAGACCCTTTTACAAAGGATAATAAATGAAACTGCAAGACTAAACCCAGAAAAAGGAGTAAACTAAGAAATAAGCGATAGACAAAAAGATGGAGAAGAAACGAGATCCAACTAAACGAATGGGTCCGCCGGGGTTATATCTACAGTAAGTGTCTTCTGGTCATTAACCTTAAGTGGGCGCAGACGGGGGTCCCGATTGTCTAGAGCCCGGGGGGAACACCAAGCGAACGAATTTTCCGACTCACAGACAGCGTCAGTGCTAAGAATCTAAGAATAAAGAAAATGAGGGTGAAAAAAGGATTAGCCCTTGGGGAGAACTAGTCCTATGGAGGACGTAGTGCGTAAGACCATGAATAACTTCGCATGTCTTTGACTCTTTGATGGACAGACGTGTAAAGAGTGGATCTTGGACATGCAGAACTGGGAGATATGACATCCAATGGAACGGGGACATGGCTTGGGTCCAGGCCTCCTGTTTCACTTTGTTCGCAACGGCCACGCCCCGAAACGTCGCACGGGAGTATCCGCTCTTGACAAGACGCTTCATTCATTCGCTGTGTCCCTTTTCCTTTGGATTCTTCTGGACCGTCGCGGGCGGCAAGTCAAATCTAAATCTCCATCCATTTTGGCCTCCCCTTGAAACACGGCTCAGCTCCCGGCTAGGAAGGTGAGTTTTTTGAACAACGCATCCTCAAAAGAAAAAAAAGAAAAAAAAAAAAAAAAAAAAAGAAAGAAAGAAAGTAAGAAAATAGTATATAGACTCGTACAGAGTTTATTCGGCAGTTTTCCTCTGTATTCTTCCCCGAGGGAAGACTACCGGTACTCTGAGAAAGAACTACTAAAAGTCCTGCATGTCACCTTAATAGTCGCCCGTCCACTCTCTTGACAGGTCCCCACCTCGTGCGTGTCAAACTGACTAGAAATCACATGGCATCGGACTGAGCAACTATGTACTCGTACTTAATGATTAGGTATTGTGGGATATTTTTAAGACGACGTGGTTTCTCAACTGTCCGGATTCAGGCCATCCATACTCTCGCGCGAAATATAAGATGTTGTCAAGTCGGGAGAGTATGTGCTCAAAATAGCATAGTTCGATGTCAGACGAGTCAGCACTCGGCTCATTGGACCGATGGTACTAGTGGTCGGCTCCACGGCGGGTGGTTGAGAAGTTCCCGAGTCTGGCACTGATCAACATTGCCCTTCCAGAACGATCGGACTACGAATAATTCTGATTCACTTTGCAACGCTCACATGGAATATACTGTAACGATTGGCAGAAGTTGAGTCAAATCATCACATAGGGATCCGAAATACCTCCTTTCGTTTTACTCTCGACTGATGTGGGAAGCGAAAAGCCAGCTTGATGACGCACAGCAGGATTTGAATAAGGGGCTAGCGGCTTCGATAACAGAGAAGAGACATAAAGTGATCTAGGTCTTACAAGTTGCTACTCTCCCAACTGTCATCAAATACGATAGTTAACACACTCCATAGACACGAACTTTTATTGTCTACCAGCGAACTGCTTCTCTACGGAAGCTTTCTAGCGAATTTCCTTTCCCGAATAGGCTAGTTCAGGGCTGCTTTGTGCTCAGCATCGAGGGAGTGTGAAACGTATAGATAGATACCCGGATCAACCGGTGCAGCGAATAGTCTCCGTGTCATACAGAACTGGTATATCTCGATTCTTGATAAGTCAAGCAAGATAAATCTAGCAATGAAGTATATGTGAAGGGTAGTTATCTATCTAGATCTCTGTAGCTATGTGAATATCAGGATAAGTAGTTACAACTCGTAGGAAATAGAAAAGAATACAAATATTCTGGGAATAAAAGGAGATATACATAACGAATCGGTTAAAATTATGCTTGTATCGGATTTGTCCACCCGGATAGCTGTTTTACAAAGTGATTTATAGTCAGTTATTAGGGACAAAAGGTAAGAGAGACAACTTCCGGCAATTATCAGAAGAGTCTCGGGTTAATCTGGCTTTCCCCGTAAAGTATCTCACTAGCAGCTGATATTAGACTAAGGAACAGCATCCACATCTTAACCATATCCAGAAGTACCCAACTGCAAAAAATATAGATGGCCGTCTGCCTTCTTGACAGAATAACCGAACAAAGTCTACATAACTGACGTCTATTTTGTTGCCGACAATTCTTAGAAATTTTACCTAGGATAGAAGCCCCCCACGTTTGATAGGGAGAAAGTAGCGTCACATTGTGGAGTGTCTGCAGGATTCTACTCCGTACTACTCCATTATGTAGAATGGAAATATATCCGCCGATTTGGCCCCACTTCAAGAACTCCTCACTGAACTCAGTATATTATTTAACACGCAGGATAGTAGCTTAGTTAAGCCACTGTCACGAGGAGCGCTCGACTGTCTGATTATGGTAATCATCACCCCAAGCAGCTTTCCTGAGCTCCTCCTCCTCCGCCTCACGCTTTTGTTCAGACGAGAATCTCCCACAGTTCTCGTGTTCTGTGAGTTCATACGCGTCATCCTCATCATCCCACCATATACTTATTAGGTGTTAGATATTTGGGTGCAAAATATAGGTAGTCGGGTGCATGGAACGTACTTGATTTCCGGGGGGACCTCGTCATCGTCCTCTGGTTCCTCATCATCGATCACTTCACCACCAAGCTTGGTAATGTGTTCTTTGACCCTATAGAGCTTGGTATTAGCTTCCAAGGTACTCCGTATCCCGGGTTTGACGGAGAGACTTACTCATAGTATTGTGCTAGTGTTGTCCCGTTTCTTAATCCGAACTGAGCGAAATTAAAGATTAGCGAGATCTGAGACCTCTTAGCTGTTCGTGTCTCACTTGGAAAATATATTTCACCATCTCGACTGTGCCGAAGGGTCTGATAGTTGAGTATGTTCTTTGGTCGAAGAGTGAAAGGGCGGGGTGCGTCGAGCCTGGTAACTGGCGATAGAGTCGCTGGTTCTCCTGAGTCATGACATGGCCATAAAGTCACGCACGGGTATAAATTGCGGGGCATTCAATTGCGATGGCGCAGCTGAAGGAAAAGTAAAAAGGGCAGACAAGAAGAGCCGGTATCAGCTTCACAGAGTTGGGTTGCTAAGCTCGTTTGTCGATCTGTCCCCGCATAGCCTCCCACCGTAACTCTCACCATAAAGTATCGCAATATCTGCTGATATGCTACCGATGATAGGTTCTATTACCCGACACTAGGAAAGGGCTGTGCACGACATTACTTGTACCCCACTCACCTAACCGATGGTAGATCGGCCGCAGCTGAATGAAAATCACGGCATTAATTATACCGGTAAGTATATTCACATGACAGCGTATGCTGCTATGATTGGAGGCCCTTCTTGATCTTTCGCTGTCTCTAACTGCGAGGTGTCGCGGAAGCTGGCTTCGAACATTTATTGGTGAGTCAAAAGCTACGCACATGTCTTTAAGTGTGTTAGAGCATTACGCCTATATGCCTGTAGTACAATGAGTTCTCGGTATGGTTGGGCTGATATATTGGTCGAATATGGCATGTAAGCTAAACGACTATATGCAATGATCTATCTCCGCACCTCTCGAAGTTCAGGATTTGTCTATTAGTTTCTTTAGCACGTATGAAAGAGGGATTAGTATGTTTGTGTTAGCGTAGTATTGCGTAGGAGTGAGGTTCACCTCGAGATTTGGCAGATCTATAATCGCAGTCTCTATACCCTCCGCCCACTCCTTCTCGAAGGGTTTCCGAAAGACACTTGGCATGTATAGGAAAATGTTGATGCTGATCTTGGTTCACCTCATCGAACAGTTATTCTGCCCCAAGATATCTTCTGGGGAACATTACTGCATTGTGTACTATTCTATGGAAGAGCGTAGCTACGAGTAGCAACCTAAGGAGCTCACGATGTGAAAGGTATACTAGTAGCACACAGTAAATCTAGAAGGCTCAACCGGTATACAAACACGGAAGTCCATATGTCAACGTGGATACTGTGCACCACAGTAGGGTACATATAATGTAGATCTTAATGGTACTCCACCACTCCACTTTGATGTTTATCCGTTGAGCTTATCAGGAAGTTTTAAATTTTATATGCTTTCCAGAAGGCTTATCTCTTCCAACTTGATAAGAACAGTAACATTCAAGGCGTCAAAGCTACACCGACTTTACCTTTACCACCCGAGTGTATGTATTTGTTTTATTACTCTCAGATACCATCAAACATGGCTTGGTCTATGCTTTTGTGCGGGTGCATTAGCGTCTTTCTCATATCATACCATTAAAGACAAAGTACCGCCTACTACTATTACCCAGGAGGTATAATAGCTACTTTATATAGAAACGCTTTGCTGTGTCCATTATTGGCTATTCCTAGAAAATTTCCAGATGAGGGGTGCTGTCTGTACCCGTCCTCAGTCAGTGAACTTAAACCACAATTGGCACCTACCTTCCAAATTGCGCTTGTCCTGTTTGCAGACCTGATAATCATGGCTGAGGAGTTTCAGGTGACAATTAACCCCGAAATTGAACCTGAATTATGTTTTTCGGCTTCCTCTCTCTCTTTACATATTTACAGCTCAATGGTTGAGCTAATGGAGATTATGATGTGCAGTCCCTTGATAGCGATTCTGCTTATAATGACTCGGAATATAGATTATGTTAAGGTTTGAATCTCCAGAATTAGCTGACGCCCTAGATCTAGTTTGGGGTCCGAAAGTTACCCAACGTCGACTACATCGAGTGTCTTGAACTACAAGTACGGCCCCTACGATGGCTTTTTTCCTTCTCTCGATATTCCGCTGCCGCTCTATTGCAAACTATATAGCTAGACTAATATTCTAGGTAAATGAGATACGAGGTACGCATTGCCAGAGACTTTCGTCCAAAGGTCACGTCACATAACAACTACTTTCGTAGAACGGCCGAAGATACCATGTGTACCGTGAAGGCGAGTATGCTCTGGTATGCTTTGTCCCCTTGATACGTGACGTCTGGCTAGACGGTTAACATATGTCTATAGCCAAACGATGAAGAAGAGCAAGGCCGGATGGATCTACTCCATAATATTTATAACTTAATTCTTGATGGCGAAATCAACGTTGCCCCGATCAAAAATCCACAAAGAGTCTTGGATATTGGTACGGGCACAGGAATCTGGGCTGTCGATTTTGCAGAGTACGAAAACAAGTCATTCAAAAAGATCCTTCTTGCATTGTTCTATTCTTTCACATACTAACCTTACTTTGCCATAGTCAATATGTATCCTCAGTAGTTATAGGTAGGAGATCCAGGTTTCTGTCTTGCCTAATTTAGGTTAATACTCTATGTATGGTACAGGCAATGATCTTAGCCCTATACAGCCAAAATGGTGAGCCACGTCAGTGGTAGAATATCAATATTGGAATATCTCACTCATTATTTATGTGATTCAAAGGGTCCCTCCAAACAGTCAATTTGAAATCGATGATTTTGAATCGGAATTGTCGTACGCCCATCCATTTGATTACGTCCATGGTCGAGAGCTTGGTAGTTCTATACATGACTTCCCTCGACCATGCAGACAAGCATTCTCTCATCTGCGTCCAGGTGAATATTTCGAGATACAAAGCTTCACTGTTGATATTTTTTCCGATGACGGCTCGATCGAAAAAGCACCTTATACAAAACAGGTCGTTTCTCTTATCCAAGAGGCGAGTGCCAAGTTTGGCAAACCTATGGACAACTTGGATACATGGCCCGCTGCGATGAAAGAGTCTGGCTTCACAGATGTAGTCTGCAAGATTGTGAAAGCGCCTTCGAGTCCCTGGGCTAAGGATCCGAAACAAAAGGAGATTGGCAGATTTTTCCAGGCTCACTAAGTACATAGCGTTCCTGCATATACCAATGTTTTACTATCCAGGGTTCTGGGTTGGGACAAAACGGAGATTGACATCTTGAATATGCACGTGCTGCGGGAGTCGAAGAATCTGGAAGTGCACCAGTATGGGAAGCTGTATCTCATATACGGGCGGAAAGCACTGTAGGGTTCAATTCCCTCTTTCAGTCTTTATTCGTCTCTTCTGTGGGTTTTCGGTGTCTAAACCTCTCACTATGTCGATAGCTGCTCCGTTATACGAAGTCTCGTCATATGTATTGACGTAGTGTTGTGTATCATATCAATGTGTTCACCTCTTTCAACCTATCAACCCGAGCCGGAGGGCATAAGATTTTCTCTCCTGTATGACACAAGGTAAACTAAGAGAGGCATCAATCTGGTGACTATTGAATGAGACTAAAGCATCCTCATTATGTCCCTCAAAGCGCCAGATCTAAAATCTTGAGGTCGTCTCTATCTGTAAAACAGGGTGCGAGGATATCAGGCACATTCCGATATCATCTGCCGAACCGAACCGATGAATCCTTTTTGATAAAGTTTAAAAGGCCTTGTTCCAACGGAACGGCAAAGACCCTGAATGGACTTTTTAACCAATTACCTTCACTCGAAGTCCCATTTTCAAGAACAAGAATACAATTCCCGTCAAAACTTGTTGGGTTGTTGAAGCGGGTATTCTAATGCACGTGGTCTTGGAGTCCTCGGGTTTATTCAGTGCCGATTACTTTGTATTAGTGAGGTGAGAGAAAGAAAGAATGAACGAAAATGCCTCAATTCATACTCGATATTGCGTTTTTTTTAAACTTGAGTACTATGAGACTGGAGTCGTAATCATTATTGTTCGGTAGATCATGCCAATACCTTTGCAGATAGTCGAAGAATCTATTGGTCCGTTGGAATGAAAAGAAGCCTATAGAAAAAGATCTTCAGGAGAGCAAACAAAGGCTTAGGTAGTGGTTGGTTGTAACCGCAGTCGTACTCATGCCAATCGACCCTTGCATGAAGAGAAGCTCCCTTCGTGGTATCTAGACAGAGTAGTATTTCTTCTAGATAAATTTATATGGACTTTCTCGCAAAACCTTACATGATGGAGCAAGGACAGCGTCCCTATTCATGCGCTGGTGTGCCTGTGCAATTAATTTGGAGCAAGAGAGCTCGGATTATTGGGATATTGCCCTGTTTATGCAAGTGGCTCGGAGTTGGGAGTGCGGTATTATCATCCCACAGCTAAAAATAGGGACAGGTAATTGCAGTATAGCAAAATTGGTTCATCCCATGTTATAGCAACCACAAGCCAAAGACGAATATCCCGGTTGATTCGAATTATCGCCATGAACGATGGGAAATTCGTTGGGTCCACTTATGATCTGCCGGCACGCTCCCAGAGGGTCTTGGAATAGACCCTGCTCATCATTGACCCGACCGTGAAGATATCCTCTTGACGTGATCTACACTGAAGGATTCTTGTCCCAAAAAGAAGCCTTGGTTTAGGGCATGGATATCGAATTAACCGCTCCGAGTGGGTACAATGGTACCTATCTGGAGGAAGAATGGCGAGTACGAAATGTTTCCACCAGGTACGGATAAGACAAGTGATGTCATAACTCATTGTCCGGACTCAAATATGAGAATTCCTCGACAGACATAGGTGGTGTGGTTCAATGTTCGGCTGAACGGAGCTGAACTTACTTGACCTGTAACCTTAGCCTTCTCATTTCTGCTATGCGATTTGTTTAACGCCCAAATCTTGGTATAGGGCGGATAAGTTGGATTGACAGGTGTGGCTCGAGTGCTCTTTTTT